TGAAGACCCATAAGTATGTCATCACCCTTCGGATGCTGGTGGGAGTTAACTGACATAGGGAGATATTGTAATGGATCAGCAAGTCTCGGACGAATACGTCCAAAGGGAACCTCAGCCCATACTGAAGCTGTCTTGTGTACACCCCCACATACCCCGGGGGTGGACGATGGATTCTATCGGATGCCACGGGCATTCGGCACCAATACCCATCAGCTTCAAAAATGCCGTAATGCAACTCAATTTGCTCGGCAAACCGATATTGTTCGGCATTCTCCACCCACCATGAGTAGGGGCGGTTCTTTATCACGGCCGAAGCTACTTCGGCATTCTCCCACTCTGAAAAACCCGGGGAGGATATCCCAAAGGACAGCGGGAACTTCATCGTCCCGTCCAGAAGCGCTCGGCCCCTCCGTTCTCTGAGGAGGAGCCGAGGAAATTGGAGTCGCCCTAATCCCTTCAGCAGGGTCAGACTCTGGCCTTTGTCCATTCCAGGTCCCAATCCTGTTCCTAGGATCGGGAATTGGCCTTGCTCTTCTTGGAGCACGGGCTCTACCTCTAACTCCTCTTGCCATTGATTATTTCGAAGAAAAAATTCGAAAAAAAGGGAAGGAGTTCGAATTCGAAGAACAATAAACTGAAATCCAAGGAATTTACCTTAATCTGAAGAGAAAGTTGCCGATTTACGAGTTCGTAGTAGCAAGTCTCAGTTTCTAAGCTTAATGCTCGGGGAATTTGCGAAGTTTTGATGCGGGTTCTTGGGTTCTCTCGAGAATTCTGGGTTTGTGTTGGTGAATAGGTGAGGATAAATGACGCGCCTCTGATTATATCTCCAGAAATGGGAATACGGGGAGTCCGCGTTTCAATTTCTCTTAAATACCCCACTAAGTAACCGTTAAACACACGACCTTGTGATTAAACTGCCCATTATCCGTCCAACTTCCACAATCATCCGCCTTAACCGTTGTTATCTCATTAATTACGGTTTAAATTCAAATTTTTGGATTAATTAAATCATTTACTTCCCTCCTTTTCTGAATTAAATCAAACCCGACCCGTCATCCTTCCAAATCAAGTCTGGGGGGCAAGTTGTTTGGGTCCAATTTAGTCCAATTGGGCCTAGGCATTAAATGATCCAATTAAAAGCCCAAGGTCAAGGTTCAACTCTCCAATTGTGCTAAAGTCAAAGGTCAGCCCTCAAAGCAAGCCAATTGGGCTAAGGCCCAACTTCTCCATGTATGAAGAGGTATAAAAGCCATCAATATTCAGATATACACATTCATTCATATATTCTCATAGATTCATTCATATATTCTCATAGATTCATTCATATATTCTCATAGATTCTCATATATTCTCATATATTCAAGCAAAGCCTCAAGCAACAAATTCTCTTGCATAGTGTTCTCTTTCTACACATTGTACTGACTTTAGCATCGGAGGGGCCTTCCTCGGCAACACCCCCGAGGCTAGTTTACGTGTGTTTACTGTGCAGGAAACCTTCGGCCCAACATAACTTGGACCGAATCCAGTCTTCTCCGTTTCAGCGGACCTTCGGCAAGGTCCCATTGTTTTCACCCAAAACAACACCCTAATCCAATAAGGAAATAAGAAGAAGGCAACCTCATCAAGGTAATATTGCACCAAGTTTTTAAAATTGAAATAAGAGAACTAAAAATATTGACTTTCTTGCTGCAAGTCATTTATGGGGGTTCTTCTCATCTAATCTAATTGAAACCTTATCTATAAATTACACTGATAAAATTGAACATAATTTAGCCATTAAAATAAAGAAACCCCTTAATCATCACCCCAAATGAAATCAATCAGAAATCCAAGAATTTTAGTCAAGTCTGATGCAATTCCAGAGCAAATTTGTAAAAACTAGGGCCCTGTTTGGTATTTTTCTACCACTGTCAAGTCTAATTAAGACAGGGGATTCGAGAAGTTTGGTAAAAAAAGTAAACAAATCGCTACCACTGTCTCCATCATCGCCTTTTAAGACAGGGGATTCGAGAAGAATGGGGAAAGAAAAGAAATTGAGAGATGCATGGCGTGGGCTGGCGGTGGAAGGTGTTGTGGTGCTGTGGTGGCGGTGAAAACCCAATCAAGAGAGAAGAGTTAAAGAGAGAAAGAGACAGGAGGAGCAAGCGAGAACAACAGACAGATGAGGTTTGCTTGTTTTTTAATTGTGAAAGGGGGAAAAGAGAAAAAGAAGGGTTTATTTAATTAATTTACTAGTTTTGTCCCCGTACAATACACGGATTTATAAAGCATGATATAATAATAGTCAATTGAAATAGAGTTAATTGAAATTAAATGATTTATGTAACACTTTTTTTAATTTAAATTTAATAATGTTTACTTTAATTTTTTTTTTAATAAACATTTTCTTTTAAAACAAAAGAAGAGCCTTTCGGAGGGAAATTTTTTGATAAAATCATGCCAAGTGTCCCTCCGGTGATTACTTTAGTATATAGTATAGATACTTTGTTTGGATAGGAAGAAATGGAAGGAAAAGAAGAGAAGAGAAATGGAAGGGGACAAAATCTCTTGTTTGGGTAAAAGATTGGGGGAAGGAAGGGGAAGGAGGGGGAGGGATTCATTTTCCCTCTCTCTTTAATAACCGTAATCTCTCCAAAATTGGAGAGATTTGGAGGGAAAATGGAGCTCACCTCCCCCTCCCTTTCTTTTCCCTTCCCTTCCTCTATTTTTCCTCCTTTTCTTTTCCTTCCTTCTTTGCTATCCAAACAAAGAAGGAGAGACCATATCTCTTAAATAAATGGTCTTTTTTTTATTTAATAAGTAATTAAAAAAAATGAGAGACCACTTCTTTAAAATAGATGGTCCCCCTCGTTATATATTTATTTAATTAAAAAAAAGGAGAGGCCACTTCTCCTAAATAAATGACCTCTCTTTTATTTATTTTATTAATTAATAAAAGAAGAGACCACTTATCTTATATAAAGGGTCTCTCTCTTTATTTATTTATGTGATTAAAAAAAAAAAGACCATTCATTTGAAATATTGGGTCTCTTGAAACCAAGAGACCACATATTTAATTAAATGGTCTCTTGTTTGAGGTCTCTCTTTGGCCAATTTTGTAATAATTATATTTCTAGATTTAAAAAGACAATAAGAGATGGCATAATTAGTTTCCATTCATATAACAAAAAACAGAAAAGGTTAGCAGGATATATCAAGGACCTATGCAAACATAACTCTTAATTTTTAGCACAAACAATGCTTCCTGACATGTTAAACTAGAACATGGATAATTATTTGCTTTGACAACACTTCCCCAACAATCTATAATCAGAAAACAAGCAGTTGTATAAGGATGAACTTCTGAATTTCTAAAGTACTAGTAGGCATAAGCAAGTTAACAAATCCTCAACAAATAAAATAACTAAGACCTTATGACACTTAAAGACATTAAGAAAATTAAATTTGGGCTTAGATTATGTTACATATTATTCAACCGGACTAACTTCAAAAATCGATTGGGTCATATGCTAGGAGTATTTAAGAAGAGGAAAAAGAAACACAAGCAAGATATGGTGTACAACAAAAGGCTTTTAATAACTCTATATTTCAATCGTAGGTAATTTGGAACTACCACCCACCCCAAAGATGAGCACAAGGTAACAACCCATAATAACAGATTAACAGTGACAAAGAAGCAACAAAACTTAAGATGGAATGCTCCAACATTTCACTAGGACAACCTAAGTCAGCACTTGATTAGCTTATGCTATAAAAATCAATAAAATACAGTATAAAAAATTATCATCATGTCGTGTACCAGTGTCTATTATTTGTCACTCTGAATATTGTATTGTGGTGTAAATCTTCTTAATTTGGAGTTGTATCTACCCTTTAATAGATATACCAGTACATAGAGAGACCAAATGCTAACATAATAATAACTCAAAAATACAAAATATATTCGCATAATAATATCTAGAAGATTTTGTATTTTAACAAACACTTATGCACCAGGTTCCACAATAGCGCAAACTAACAATGAAATTAGATCCCTAAGTAGAAAGCAGGACGATTAGAAACTGTACTCACCATAATCCAATATCATAATACCACTATCTACATTTCCATTCTCACATTGTGAAAAGACTAACAAGTATAAACACATTAAATTTATATCTTCCTCATTATAATCATTAATCTCATAACATGAATCCCAATAAGGATTTCATGTTAAATGTCGAAATACGCTCCATCCCCCCTAGACAATAGATATGTCACTTATTCTTCATCAAAACTCCTCATCTAAGCAATTAATAAGCCAATAAAGGTAACACCATACGTTAATCCTTTCATTTCTATATGTTGATTGCATTTATTTTACTGTGGATTCAAAACCAAAGGTGAAGAAAGGTGGAAAATCAGCTAAGTCATCCAAAGGTCTAGAAATTTTCTAGGTGGTAATTGAAATTCATCTCTGTTATATCCAGATTCAATACTTGCAATTATGGATACCCAACAACCATCTGTTTTAATATGCTGTAAAACAAAACCACATACTTGAAGAAATTTCATTCTGCAACTACAATTATTAGAGAAAAATCATGCAGGCATGTGAGAAATATAAGAAAGCCAGTACTAGAACATGCTTGTGTGCTTTTTTAGGTTGAGTATTCAATATTTTTTGTGTTCATGTTAGTTGATACTTTTATTTAGGCACCTATGTTTAGATGAGTTAGATAATAATATATTAAATTATTAAAAACAAATAATAGAATAATAAAAAATTGATAAATGGAAAATACTTGTATTTACTTTGACAATTTTAACAACAACCTCACATAACTATATATTTTTTCATTCTCATTGTAAAATAAAATCATACCCTAAAATAAAATCATATAGGATAGCTGGATAGGATAGGATAGGATAGGATAGGATTTATTGCAAAAAGTAAGATAGCATCCTGTAAGATGTTTCTAGAATCCCCTACAACATGTATAAAAACAAACCATAGCAGTTTTCTAAAGTCTCATCATTCAACATATTCTCAAAACAAGTCATACTTTTATAAAATATTTCTCTCCTCTTTTTCTTCCAAGAAAACTCCAATACCATGGCATTATCCTCCTCTTCTCCACCATCTTCCAAAAAATTTATTCTTAGGTCTTCCGAGAAGGAGTTTTTCGAAATCGACGAAAACGCAGCAAGGCTTTCTCAAACTCTCAAGTTCATGATCGAAGACCTCGGCGACAACAACAACCTTATTCCGGTGCCTAATGTCAACTCTAAAATTCTCTCTAAGGTTATCGAGTATTGCAACAAGCACGTTGTTGCCAATAACCCCGAATCCAAAACCACTGAAGATGAAATAAAACAATGGGATAAACACTTCCTCAAAATTGACCAAGAGACCCTCTTTGAACTCATTCTCGTGAGTATTTGTTTTTTCTTTGATTTAATAATTTTATTTATTGTTGATTTTATTGAATTCTTTCGGTTGTTTTTCTTTACATTCCAATGTTTGATAAGATAGATGAAGAAAGGGTAATAATTAAAACTACTAAGTTTCGTTTTTAGTTAATTTTTTCATATATATTTAATTTTATGATGAATAAATTATCTTATTAATTGGTTAACCATTTCATTGATATAGAAAAAACACGGTCCTAATTGAATTATTTAATGTAAGAGATACTAAATTATTGTATTCATTAATTGCTAACCAATCATATGAGACTATGATATGAGAGTATCAATATACATTAATTACATATATCTACATAATTGATAATATTCTTAGTTAAGAAGATACCACTATATGTAATTTTTCTACTTTAAAAGTTGAATTTATAAATATATGTCGATTACAATAATAACTACGAGTTAGAGATAAATCAATAGATAATACCATAAAAGTTTTGAAGTACGGAGTAATTGATAGTCATCAAAAGTTAACCTTCACATAAACCCTAAAATTTGAAGGTAAAAAAATAGACCTCCAATTTTATTAGTCTTTTTATTTATAAAATATTAATTAATTGCATTAGTTAAATTACTAAAGTGAATAATATTCGTGCAGGCTGCAAACTACTTGAATATAAAGGGTTTACTAGACTTGACCTGCCAAGCCATTGCCGATATCATAAAGTCTAAAAGTCCTGAGGAGGTAAGGAAGATCTTCAACATCGTCAATGATTTTACTCCTGAAGAAGAAGCCAAAATTCGAAGGGAACATCAATGGGCCTTTGATGATCGTGAGTAAGCTGATATTCAGACAACAATTGCGAAGAAATTGACAGAAGGAAATATGATTTGCTGATGTTGTTGTTTCTTCATAAATTTTAGTTAATGAACTCTTCTTTATTAACGAGTTTAAGAAAGATATGATTTTATGTATTTCCGAATAATAGACATTGTTGCTTCTCCAGTTATCGTATTAATCTATGTCTTGCATGTTATTTTTTGTCTGTTTAATTTTTTTTTACTCGTATCTAATTTTATTATATTAGCTCATTAATGTTGTTTGAATTGTATTGTTTTCCTTTGCTAAAGTTTTCTCAAACCTTTATTTTTTTATTTACTCCATCGTCTTTAAAACTTTCTTGAATTTCATTCTTGGCTTCCTTTAAAATTTCATTATTTTTTTCTTGAATCCTCTTTCATTTTCTTACTTTACTCACTTTTTCAAATTATGTCCTTTTCTTTATGATATTGTACGAATCCTTATGGAAATTCATGTTAGCTGACTCCAAGTTATTTTGGGACTAAGGCTTTTTCCTAAATAACTTTTTTTTAAACAGGGCCTAATTTTATTTTTTTTTTTTTTTTTTTTTTTTTTAACTAGGCTGAAAGGTAACTTAATTGTAACATTAAACATGAGTAAGAACTTGACAACTCTTAATTTAGTGGAGGCTTTGAGTTCAACTTGACAACAATTAAAATTGTAAGATTTGTTTAAAGGTCTTAAAAGCCTGCCCATTGATTGGTCCATTGATCATATATATCATATATGGCGTATGATCTTCCATTCAAAGATATGGAAAAAAAATTATGATGTACACAATCAAAATAATATCAAAACCATATCATATATTTAAGGTAACTTATAAAATATCTTAACAAATCCTAACACCCCTTAAGTGGAGGTGAGAAGCAATTCCCATCTTATGTAATAAATAAACCAATTTCATCTTGCCAAGGGCCTTGCATGGGTGAACAAAATAACAGTTAAATTTTATGGTCAGTTCGTTTATGAGAAACAATTACTATACATAATAAAATCTCCTTTAATCACATTAATTCACAAGTGATAGAATTCAAAATAAACACGCTTTAATTTTTGCCTTTGTAAAAAAACTACAAACAATGATTTGTTTCTTAGTCTTCCATGAAATGGGAGAATGAACAAGAAACATGATCCATCCAGTGAAAGATCTACGTGTAACAGGATAGGCGAGCCAATTTGAATCACACCAACCATGCAAGGTTAAATCACTATCAACACTTAAAAAAATTCCTTGTCCAGGAGTGCCTTTCATATATCACATGAGCCTTATTTTAAGGATGCTTCCCGGTGTTCAATTTTTCATGAACTGAAATAAGACATGACATAAATAAGAAAGATTTGGTCGAGTGACCGTGATATAAATCAGCCTTTGATAAGCTTCAAGATCAGAGAGTGCAAAACTACTAGCCAAGCCTAGCTTGTGGTTTTAATCATCAATAGGAAATCCAATAGGTTTCGTAACTAATAATCCATACACAAAAAATGATATCTAGAGTAAACTTCTTTTGATAAAGAAACAAACTAGAAGAACTACTAGCCACTTCAATAATGCCAAAAAAATATTTCAAAGAACCAATATGCAAGATCCTTCATATGAAAATAATCACTGAATGTCGTTAAAGAAGAAGAATCATATCATTCCCAAAAATAATAAGATCATCAGCATAATATAAATAAGAACATTGATTTGTATAGAACCAATCTTTAGTATATGTGAATAAAGAATAATCGGAGTACGTACATAAGACACTGTACTCTTTCGAAGCACACAGAGTTTCATAAACACAATAGCAATCAGAATACAACACGTCGGTGCTTATTTAATACCATTAAGAGAATTTCGATGACAACATACCTAGTTAGGGTAAGAATGAAGAGTAAAAACTAGAAGGTACTTTCATGTATACCTCCTCATCAAGATCTCCCATTATAAAGACATTGTGAAAACAAATATAATGTAGCTCCTGGTTTATAGAAGCTGCAATAACAAGAAATTAAGGCTTGTATTTTTACCATTTTAGCCACGGGTGCTAAATTTTTGGTGTAATCAATTCCTCCCTTTTTTTTTATTACTAAAGACAACAATTCCACATTTTAATTATTTAATTCTCCCATTGGAATTTTATTTGATCCGATACACCAATCAACTGCCAAAAGGATGTTTTTCGAGAGGAAGATCTTGCTTCCATTGTATTGTCCTCGTGCCATTCTTTTCTAGAGCATGTTTTTAATTTTTCATAATTTCTATTCAACCTACATTATCCTTACTAGAGTGCAACTGCTTGTGATTTCAATTCTCTCCTTAAATTTAATATGGTGATTTCAAGTGGTAAAATCAACTCTTTTTTTTTCTTAGGGTGATATAAAATAGTTTGGATTTTTTTAATGGTAGGTAAAATTTAGCTCGTAATTTGAACTTTTTTATTGATTTTTTTGGACTTTTAGATGTTTACTTAAGCTCTTAGTTTGTTAGTCTCTCGGAGCTGATTTTTTCTTTTTATTTTCTGAGATTGGTATTGTGAGTGGCTGTTGGTGGGGGACAGTGGGTGGCTTTTAAAGTTTTTTTTTCTTCATTTTGTTTCGTTGGTGTTTTCCGACAGTTTTGTGGTCATAAAAAATACCAATAGTTTTTAGCACTCATTGTTCACATGGTTAAAGTCTTTCCAATGTTACCAAATATAAGTCGTTGAAAAATGTATTTGAGCTGTCAATTTTGCATGCACGTAAATGTAAAATTTATCTATCAAATCTAATAAATAATAATGGGATGTTCCTAACACAATTTGAGCTTTTAATAAGGTATCAAATAAACTCTCTTTCTCGAGACGAAACACCTTTTAATTAAATGCGATAATCATTAATCAAGTCATTAACGAACATTAACTAGAAATTCTTGAATGAATTTCAACATTATTATTGCCCCGTGGATAAGGATCTTCACAAGTTCTAGTCGAAAATATCAACAAGAATGTTTTTATTACAAACTACCAAATTGAAAAGATCATTGAAAATTAATTTATACTCTATTAGATTACGAATAGATACGAGAGAGATTAGATGGAATGTTCATGTGTTACACTGTTATCAAGATGTACATACCGCGCGCTAACTTTTGTTTATATATTATAAATATCTAGTGAAGTACAATACTGTTAGTTGAGACGAACACTACAAGAGGAGGGGTGAATTGTAGTGTTCCTAGTGACTACTCTTTGCAGAATGTAAAACAGAATGTAAAGGAACTTGCAATGCACACAATTCATATTTTACGAGGAAACCTTCCAGGACCCAACTTGAAGTAAAACTTCGATGTTTCTAAGGGATTTCAAAACTAAACCAATTCACTATAATAGGACAAACACACAAGTTACAACCTATTATAATTAATCAGACCTTTACTCACAAGTTCCTGACTGAACTTGCTACCCAGTAGGACTATATCCTACCCAACCTAAGTCTTTGACTTAGATTCACTCATATTCCCTAAACACTACTCAGTCAGCTTCAACCTAGAAGCCTACAACACTATATGAAAAGATAGATTACAAACACATCCAAGAACCCAACCAATTACAAAATATAAACTCTTATTATATAAGAGACAAGCTACGCATGAAATCCGAAACTAATATGACAAAGTTATGGACTTGGAAAACTTACACAATTAAGCACACTTCGATTTCTTCATGCATAAACTCACAGAAAAGAATGAATTAGGATTTCTACAATTTATACAAGACTTGCTTGTAAAGGAAGTAGGGTTTTCATAAGAAAAATATGTTATTTTACCAATATATTAAAACACGGTTTTAAGTAAATCTATTTTAAAGAAAATCTTTTAGAAAACTTACCAAAGATAAATTATCGAAAAGAATAATATCTTTTTGATAATTGGTTTTGAAGAAATAAATCATATAGAAAATCTTTTCCTAAAAACTTATCTTTTTAAACTTTCCTATTTTAAGAAGCTTCCCAAGATTTTTGTCACATTTCTAATAAGTCTCACGAGTAAAAGTACTTAACATATTTACAGCAAATCTAAATGATAAAATATTTAAAAAATAAAAAAACTAATTTGCTTCGCCAATACTCTGTATTCTAGGACACTTAGGCTTCACATAGTCCAGGACTAAGTTCCCGCTGTAACTTGCTATCTAGTTCTGAATTGGAATTTCGCAAGCCAAGTTCTTCTAGAACTTGTTGTTTTCAACGCAGACCAAGTCAACACTCTAACTTGCTGTCTTCAAGTTCCTGTTAGGAAACTTAGTTAGTTCCTGTGAGGAAACTCTTCTCCTATCTTTCTTAACTTTCATTGAGATCTCTATGAGTCTTCATAGTTAGGATCCCCTTCCACTTCCAAAGTCAACTTCTTCTGTTCTAGTCACAACACTTAGAGAACTCTTATTAATTTGAAGTTTGCTTTATTTAAGTGCATCATCATCAGACCTTTAATCAACGATTCCCCCCTTTTTGATGATGACAAACTTTAGCAAACTTCTAAGGAAAGTTAAACCACATAGAAGTTCGTTATTTTTGTATTTTTGTTTTAACAGAAAACTAAACAAAAGCGAAAATATAAAATAAATAGAGCATAAAAAACAGAAAAACAAAAAAAAAAACAGAACAAAAACTCTAAACTAAACTGTTATTTAGATGAAATACTACAAGGGGGGGGGGTGAATTGTAGTATGGAGATTGCTAGTCACTTTTTGCGAAATTAAAAGAAACTTAACGCAATAGAGAAATAGTGCAAGAGATTTTACGAGGAAAACTTCCTAGGCCAAATAGGAAGTGAAAAACCTCGACCCAAAGGGATTTTGACTCAAAACATTCCACTAAAATAGGCCAACGACTCTATTACAACCTATGAGGAACTTGAGCCTCTACCGAGTTCCTCAACGAACTCATATCCCCAACAACTATTCCCTCTAATAGTTGCAGCTCGAAATCTTCCCCAAAAGACCTCTCTTCTCACTCAAGACTTCACTCAAAACCTTACTCTTTCTCTTTCTCTTTCTCTCAAGCTTCACTCAAAGCCTTCTCTACATACAAAGAACTCACTCAAGTTCTCACCCCAATACAAGAGTTCACTCAAACCCTTATTAATTCCATTACAAGAGTTCACTCAAACCCTTAAACAACTCTCAAATACATATAAAAGATATAATGTATAAAACTAATATGTTTGACAATTTGAGATATGTAAGGAACTTGGAACCTGGAGGAACTGGATCACCAACGTGGAGAAAAAATATATTTCTTTTCTACTACTCTACCACTTGGGACGAACTCCATTATGGAATAACTCACTTAAGCCAGATAGTTTGGAATGAATGAAA